GATTTTTGGGACATTGGGACTGGTTCTGGGGGAGGTGGAACGATTACAAATCGAATGGTCTACACCTGGGCAGGACTGAAACCAATGTCCTAGGGGGTGCTTTTGCTAACGCTGTTGGGGAGGGTTTAAACTAATGTAGCAGGGGGATGGGAACCAAATGAGGAGGTTAGTGGACATTATGGAGGTAGTAACTAAAGCTTGTAAGGAACTAGATAATGAAGTCAGTGTGACTAAGGGGAAGAGTAGGCAGAGAGCAGATGATGAACACAAAGGGACAGGTGGTCTGAGGTGCATTTGTTTTAATGTGAGAAGTGTAGTAGGTAAGGCAGATGAACTTAGGGCTTGGATTAGTGCCTGGGAGAATGATGTTATTGCTATTACTGAGACTTGGTTGAGGGAAGGGCAAGATTGGCAACTATATATCCCAGGATATAGATGCTTCAGGCGGGATAGAGAGGGAGGTAAAAGGGGTGGAGGAGTTGCATTACTGGTCAAAGAGGCTATCACAGCTGTGCTGAAGGAGGGCACTATGGCGGACTCAAGCAGTGAGGAAATATGGGCAGAGCTCAGAAATAGGAAGGGTGCGGTAACAATGTTGGGGCTGTACTACAGGCCTCCCAACAGCGAGCATGAGATAGAGGTACAAATATGTGGACAGATTATGGAAAGATGTAGGAGCAACAGGGTGGTGGTGATGGGAGATTTTAATTTTCCCAACATTGACTGGGATTCACTTAGTGTCAGGGGTTTAGATGGAGCGGAATTTGTAAGGAGCATCCAGGAGGGTTTTCTAGAGCAGTATGTAAACAGTCCAACTCGGGAAGGGGCCATACTGGACCTGGTGTTGGGGAATGAGTCCGGCCAGGTGGTTGAAGTTTCAGTGGGGGATTACTTTGGGAACAGTGATCACAATTCTGTAAGTTTTAGAATACTGATGGACAAAGACGAGAGTGGTCCTAAAGGAAGAGTACTGAATTGGGGGAAGGCCAACTATAGCAAAATTTGGCAGGAGCTGGGGAATGTGGATTGGGAGCAGCTATTTGAGGGTAAATCCACATTTGATATGTGGGAGGCTTTTAAAGAGAGGTTGATTAGAGTGCAGGACAGATATTTCCCTGTGAAAATGAGGGATAGAAAGGGCAAGATTAGGGAACCATGGATGACAGGTGAAATTGTGAGACTAGCAAAGAGGAAAAAGGAAGCATACATAAGGTCCAGGCGACTGAAAACAGACGAAGCTTTGGAAGTGGGACCAATCTGAAACGAGGAATTAAGAGGGCTAAAAGGGGTCGTGAAATATCTTTAGCAAACTGGGTTAAGGAAAATACGAAAGCCTTTTATTCATACATAAGAAGCAAGAGGGTAACTAGAGAAAGGGTTGGCCCACTCAAGGACAAAGGAGGGAAGTTATGTGAGGAATCAGAGAAAATGAGTGAGATTGTTCATGAGTACTTTGCGTCAGTATTCAATGAGGAGAGGGACATGACGGATGTTGAGGTTAGGGATAGATGTTTGATTACTCGAGGTCAAGTCGGCATAAGGAGGGGGGAAGTGTTGGGTACTCTAAAAGGCATTAGGGTGGGCAAGTCCCCAGGTCCGGATGGGATCTATCCCAGGTTACTGAGGGAAACGAGAGAGGAAATAGCTGGGGCCTTAACAGATATCTTTGCAGCATCCTTGAGCACGGGTGAGGTCCCGGAGGACTGGAGAATTGCTAATGTCGTCCCCTTGTTTAAGAAGAGTAGCAAGGATCATCCAGGTAATTATAGACCGGTGAGCCTGACATCAGTGGTGGGGAAGCTGCTGGAGAAGATACTGAGGGATAGGATCTATTTACATTTGAAAAAAAATGGGCTTATTATTGAGAGGCAGCATGGTTTTGTGCAGGGAAGGTCATGTCTTACCAACTTGATAGAATTCTTTGAGGAAGTGACAAAGTTGATAGATGAGGGAGGACTGTAGATGTCATATATATGGACTTCAGTAAGGCGTTTGATAAGGTTCCTCATGGTAGGCTGATGGAGAAAGTGAAGTCGCATGGGGTCCAGGGTGTACTAGCTAGAGGGATAGAGAACTAGCTGGGCAACAGGAGACAGAGTTGTAGTGGAAGGAAGTTTCTCAAAATGGAGAACTGTGACTAGTGGTGTTCCACAGGGATCCGTGTTGGGACCACTGTTGTTTGTGATATACATAAATGATCTGGAGGAAGGTATAGATGGTCTGATTAGCAAGTTTGCGGATGACACTAAGATTGCAGATAGCGAAGGGGACTGTTGGAGAATGGAGCAGAATATAGATAGGTTGGAGAGTTGGGCGGAGAAATGGCAGATGGAGTTCAATCCAGGCAAATGCGAGGTGATGCATTTTGGAAGATCCAATTCAAGAGTGAACTATACGGTAAATGGAAAAGCCCTGGGGAAAATTGATGCACAGAGAGATCTGGGTTTTCAGGCCCATTGTACCCTGAAGGTGGCAATGCAGGTCGATAGAGTGGTCAAGAAGGCATACAGCATGCTTTCATTCATCGGATGGGGCATTGAGTACAAGAGTTGGCAGGTCATGTTACAGTCAAATAGGACTTTGGTTCGACCACATTTGGAATACCGCGTACAGTTCTGGTCGCCACATTACCAAAAGGATGTGGATGCTTTGGAGAGGGTGCAGAGGAGGTTCACCAGGATATTGCCTGGTATGGAGGGCGCTAGCTATGAAGAGAGATTGAGTAGATTAGGATTATTTACATCAGAAAGATGGAGGTTGAGGGGGGACCTGATTGAGGTCTACAAAATCATGAGAGGTATATACAGGGTGGATAGCAAGAAGCTTTTTCCCAGAGCGGGGGACTCAATTACTAGGGGTCACGATTTCAAGGTGAGAGGGGAAATGTTTAAGGGAGATATGCGTGGAAAGTTCTTTATGCAGCGGGTGGTGGGTGCCTGGAACGCGTTGCCAGCGGATGTGGTAGAGGCGGGCATGATAGCGTCATTTAAAATGTATCTAGACAGATACATGAATAGGCAGGGAGCAGAGGGATACAGATCCTTGGAAAATAGGCGACAGGTTTCGATGGAGGATCTGGATCGGCGCAGGCTTGGAGGGCCGAAGGGCCTGTTCCTGTGCTGTAATTTTCTTTGTTCTTTGTTCAGGTATTTGAATACAGGAGATGTCAGGCACACTGTTGTTGCCACTGGACTCGTAATCCAAGGGGTGAGGTACTTTTCAGAGTATTCATACTTGAATCCTACCACTGCAGAAATGGAATTTGAATTCACTGAGAATTGTAACCGCTTTCCAAGGAAAACATCATGCTTCATAATCGCCCTTTGGTTTGCCTGGTTTAGCCACCACATGATTCCAAAGCCAAAGTGTTTGCTTAGTCAAGTGCCTGCTAAGGGATCAATGAAGTCAATTGAAGGACTTAAATTGAATCAAACTGGATGTATACCTGACATTAACGTCAGTAACAGAAACAAAAACAGCAGAGACATCTGGCAACATGACGGGGCTTTAACCAACATTCGCAGATTTGTCTTGCAGAAGCTACAAACAACATCACGGAATCATACATTATAAACCGTGCCTAACAAAACGTTCCCTGAGTGTTTCTTCTCGAACACAGTGTTCCAATGGAGCTAGTGCCTAATCTTTCCAATCAGGGTACGCTCCAATGTGTTGTGTGGCATTATCAATGTGCTAAAATGGGCACAGTTTGAGCAGATCTGGCAACACAGGGCATTCACGAGGCATTGTTGACACGCTTTCAGGCAAAGTGTTCTATGTGTCTACAATGACGAGAAGACACCATGTTCTTCTAATTCATTCTCCCCATTACTTTACGTCAGCACCATGTGACACGTGACCATGCTGCTTAGGTAAATGGGTTTCTCGGCCTTCCATTGAATTATAAATTTAAAGTAAATCTCCTCTCTGCTTCCACAGTTCTACGCCAGCCCATCCAATATTTCCTGTTATTTTCCAGTCCAGGGTCGCATCTTCAAAAATCTCCAGTGGAATCACAATCTTTTCGTAGTGTGAAGCTAAAATGAATATTCAAGTTGTCATCGAATTTGTGCTGCATTTAGTAACTACTCTTGCATTCTATGCTTCGTCCAATTAAGGAATGAATGTTGTATGAATACTTAACTACCTTGTCGACCTTATTTACCTTTGAGGAACTGTTGCCATAGACTCCAATGTTATATTTTTCATCCATGCTCCTCAGTATTCTCACATTTACTGTGTATTTCCCTGCGTTCCCGCACCTTCTGAAATCCACTAACTCACTTTACCGCATTAAGTTGCACCTTACACTATTCTGTCTAGCCCAACATAATAATTATTTCTTCTACTGTTGAAAGCATTCCTGTTCACTATCAATAGGTCCAGTGTTTGTGTTATGTGCAAACCTCTCCGTTATATCACTCCATTCGAGTATCCATACCAGGGGCTATTGCTTTGATATGTCTTCCATGTCTTCCATTTCAATAGCAACCACTAGCTTTTATTGTTTGTTCCTCACACTCAGGCTTTAATCAATTTCCCGCTTTTCCCTAGATCAAAGAAAAGCCTTAAAGTTTTTGATGAATCTGCCAAGAGAATCTGTTTAAAAGCTTAGCTCAAACTCGCATCCACCCTGTTGACCACATCCACCTCGCCAAATAATCACGATTATCGGAAGTGATTTTCCCTCAATGACTGAATGGCTTTCCACAATGAATTTACGAATTTCTAAACGCATATTCATATTTCCTCCCAGTCCTTATTTCAAAAATTACCCAAAACTTAAATCAATCCAACTCACTCTATCACTTCCTCCTATTTTCCCTGTACAATGTTCGCCATCCCCAAACCCTGCTCCAATCCTGTAGCCAGAACGAACTGAAACATCGTTTCAGAGCCTTTGGAATTCTTTCCTTTTCTTTGCACCTCTAGACATATTTCATTCGGGACTTCAAGCACTTTAATGATTTTGGCCTGATGAATTGTATTATATGCAATAGTTCATAAACTTCTTCCTTTATTTTGTCACACTTATCACAACACAGTTTAGTGAGCACAGCTGCAGAGCTTTCATGAAGAACAACTATTTCGCTTCAGATGAATTTGCATTTTTTTGGTGCCCAATAAACTCTGTTTGTTCCTCTCTGTCCTCTTGCTCTTTATGTATTGCTGAAATGTCTTTGATATCCCTCGATCTTCCTGACCTTTTTTATGGCATCTGTTGGTTTTCCAATTCCCGTTTTAATTCCTCACCTAAGATGCGTATGCTCTTCAGGTCTTTCTGCATAATTAAGGTCTCGTCTGCCTTGTCTCATCCTCTATTCACTTCTTCATCCAGGAGATAACAGTTTTCAGTGTCCCTCCCATTCTGTTTATGGGACTACAATACTTCCCTTGAATGCTTGGAAACATCTTGACTTATTAAAAATGTAGATGAGTGTTTAAAGCGTATGCTTGTAGATTGTAGCAGGGATTGTACTGTAGAGTTCCTTCAGGGAGGCCATCCAATCAGCAAAGACCAATATGTCAAGCAAACGGTTTGGGCTTCATTATGTTACAGTTTAGTTGAGCAGAAATAAAATAAAGCGTTCAAAAGCAAGAAATTTTAAGGGCTTTGATGAATTTGGAAGGCATTTGGAGCGAATGTAAAAATCTAAAACAGAGACTGAATGTTAAATCATATTTTGGATTCAACATTGTGTAATCACAGTGGCAATAACATGTTCTGATACTGTTCACGTTTTTCTTTGGTTTTAATGTGTATGCAGAGTGAAGTTATTGGGATGAATGAAGGAGAAATTAAGAGACAGGAGGAAAGAGTGAAAGATCTTTCGATTAGAGGATGCTGTGTTCAGAAATAGCACTGTGAAGAGCGTGTGGAAGAAAGTGTACAATGATATTCCGTGTGAAGAGGAAAAATTGTTCTGGTTGCCGCTGCAGATTTGAGACATGTTGTTAAGAAAGCTGCTACAGTGAAGGCAAGAAACGAATAGTAGACATGTCTGGCACTGTTCACCAGATGACAGACAATCAGTGAGGAGAGATTCATTTTTCTTGCTTTGTGCACTTTAAATAATATCTCACAGATATTACAGTTCCAATTTGATTCAAGGACACAAATCAGTTATGGGCTGATTTGATCAGAGGTAATCCTTCAATACAGAAAAACATTCAATGCAATTTCTGCATGTTTTAAGCTCAGGCTCCTTGTGTTAATATTTTAATAATGCAGCAATTCGATCAACTACGTGCATGACGTTTGCTGGGACTGACGCTTAATTCTTTCCTTGAATGCAAAGTTTTTTTTTATTACTTCCGGGGCAGAGGCCAAGCCATCCAGTTTCAAAACAGCAAGTTGAGAGACGAGGGAATGTGCTGAATGGTCGAAAACTCTGAATGAAGATTTCAGTCACTACACAGACGTGGTTCGAGTCCATCCACTTTTCGGTCATTACTAAGGGACCAAAATTCTGAAGATGTTGGGAATCTGAAACAAAAAGCGGGAGAAATACATAATAGGGCAGGGACCATCTGTGGAGCTATGAAAGTAATGATTCAGGTTCTAATGAAACATCAGCTGAATTATTAATTCTGATCCTACGGAGGGTTCTGTCCAAAAAATCGACAGCATTTTTTAATTTAGATTTCACTTTCTGTCGTGTTAACAAAAGTCCTTCCTTTCTCCGGGTTGCCCGGATGGTTATTGCGCATCATTGCCGCAAACCCTATTTTCAGTACATTTTCGTCGTCAGGCTGCACTTCAGCGACAGAAGTGAGATACAACCAAACTGAGCTGGAAACCTGGGAGTGCAGGATAGTCCCGGTTACAATTCATTTATTTCGCAGACTGAACTCTCTCACAGTTAACTACCGATGTGAGGGAAACAGGAGTGGCGGACACGGTGAATGGATAATATGATGTAACTGTTTAATATTGCTAAACAGGAGACCATGGTGTGGAGTAAGATGGTGAAAGCTTGCGTTTTCACATAAACCTGCTGTACTATAACCTGGTGTAGTGTGATTTCTGAACTTAAACAGGAGACGGAAGACAGCACTTTGAAGAAAATATGACACAGAATTAGGCAGGATTCTGTCTCAAAGACGAATTATCTGATATTGTGTTCACGGACCTCACCCAACAAGGTTCGCGGACCTCACCCAACAATTAAGATAAAAAGGTGTAGAGCTGATGAACACAGCAGGCTAAGCAGCATCAGAGGAGCGGGAAAGCTGACGTTTCGGGCCTAGACCCTTTCTCCAGCATCTGCAGTTCCTACTATCTCTCACCCAACAATTAATCCCCTTTTACTACACAATACCAAATCTCGACTAAACTTTTTTTTTTTAATTTTTGGTTTCTCACGTTATTGGTCTAATAACAATCTTATTACACTGCAGGAATTCATTCCCCAACATATTGTCGCCAGAATGGTTTACCCAGTATCCTTGCAGATTGTGGTCACCTGTGATTATTGCCGAATCCTTGTAACATGCGATTCTAATTTCCTTTTTAAAGACAGCCTCTTCCTTACCAAGACCACGGGAGACCTATAACCAACCCCCTCTTATTTTCCCACCTCTTTTGTTTCTTATCACTGCCCAGACTTAATGTACATTTAGATTTTCTCTGCCAATATTCTTCCTCACTATCGCACTGATTTCATAACGTACTGACAATGTTATGCAACCTCTGTATTCTTTTGATTTCCTGTCCTGGAAGCAGCTTATTTTTCCAGCATCAGCTGGACCTTCTTGGTCTGGAAGATGTGGCGGTGGAGGCGATAGCAATGAACATAATTCAATTATACGGTGTATTATATATAGAAATCTGGCAAAGCAGTGAAGACGAGCGTTTTGTCCGCTGACACTAAATCGAATATGAGTCAAATAAGACCTCGTCACTCCTATATTCCATTCACCCTGTAGCTAACAACTGTCTGGCAACTGATGGCTGAGCTTGAATTTCCCTCCGTCTTTGATTTCTGTGCATGTACGTGTTCCAAAAAGAAATCAAAATCCCATTTATTTATTGAAATGATGAAGCTGAAAGAATAAAATTTCAAGCATATTCTTTTTACCATAGCTCTCGTGACATAAATTTGATTTTCCTTCCAAAATAAATTAGGTGACTGTCTCAAACTTAATTAAGTTGAAGCAGTCACTGAAAGTATTGTTTCCTGACAGAAAGACCAAGAACATCTTTGCAGGTGCTTGTCGAGATGGACTTGAGGTATTTCGACACCATGGGCACACGAAAGATCTGGTCGGGGGAGGCAGGTACACTGCATTCATTGTTCCTGTCCCAGGATGATCATTGAAAGGATCATCTTTAGCCGCCCCCTTCCAACGGTTCCTAACTCCTTTCGGAATTAGATATGGTTTTCAGAGAGACGCTACAGACATAATGTTCAACGTGCTGCAAGTTCGACAATTTCCAAACAACATTGTCAATCCCGGTACTTGGTCTGTTTCAACCTCATCAAATCTTTCGTCTCAGTAAAGTGAAGAATTATGGAACATCCTCGTCAAATTTGGATGTGAGCAGAAATTTGTCACCGTGCTCCAGCTGCGCATGGGTGACACGTGAACTCTGATCATCACCAAATGCAACTCCACAACCTGATCAGATTAATAACTGGAATCTGACAAGGCTGTGTCATTGCACAAAACGTATTCTCCAATTTCGTCTTTGTAACAATGTGTATCTGAAGCAAATTAAACGTGGGTGTGGAACACTTCTATAGGGTAGATAGGGAATTATTCAAATTAAATAATCATCATTCCAAACCAAAATGTCCAAGATCCCAAAGAACAACACCTGCCTTTCGGTTGGCAGAAACTACAGATCGTCCAATCGATTAATCAGCCATTTCAGAACCCTGTGATGACACACGTGTGTAAATAATTTATTTCATCACGTCATTTTTGGAGTTCTTTGATTTTAGATTGGCGGAGTGTGGATGTTGGCTACTTTTGTGACTGGTTTCATTTTAATGAAAGAACAGTGGCCTTAGCGAGGATGTGTTAAGAGAGTAGATAATTGCAAACCCCTGTGATGCTATGAGAAGGATATCTATAACCGAATTTAGAACATGTATAATAAATGATTAATGCGATTAGTTTTGTTTTCAGTACAAAGGCATCTAGAATGACCACGTTCAAAATAGAAATCAGTTCAGGAACAGTTTTTCAGTTCAGTTCAAAAGACACCACTATTTAGAAGCAAGTCTAGTTTTTGTCTAAAATAATTCAGCGTTGTTCAGGGAATAAATTTTGCAGATGATTTTAGCTTGTATAACTTCCAAACTAGGAATGTTTGTTTAGAAATACACAGGTTATTAATACCGAGAAAGTATAGCTCTAATGTTTGTGGAAATTTTGAGTCAACAGTTGTGCTAAAGACTCATTGAATTATCATCACATTCCACAACAAAACAACTATCAGGAGTCAGTTATGTAGAATCCTACAGGTGAAGATGTAATTTCTCTAGACTTCAGGTTTTGTCATGGATAATGTCGGCAAACAAGTTGAAACTTTGCTTGACTATGTGTTGCAAGGTCATTCTAATTTTATTATATATTTAGGAAACTTTTTTGGTATTTCGTCCTTTGTGCAACAAATTTCTGTTCTATTATTAAACAAAAGCTACAGCTTCGTCTCAGCCACAACGTTAAGAAATTAGACAACAGAAAAAGGAAAAAAACACGTGATCTATCGAGCCAGATTTCAGCTTGAGATTTGCCTTGTGCAGTATTACTATCAGCTGTGATCATATAATCCACTGAATTGGAGTGGAAGCTCAGCAAGTCTGGCAACATCGTGAAGAGAAATCAAATTTAACGTTTCGGGTCGACTGACCCTTCCTCAGAACTGAGGGTGAAAAATATAAAGATTCCCAAAACTCCAATGAATTATTGACAAGTATGAGATTCCAGACTCATTTAAAGTGAAAACCTTTTAAAAAAGCTAAAGAAAATTAAACATTCCATAAAGTAACAACAGGGACGCGAATCAAACCTATGTGATGAGAAGGGCAACACATTAGCGATCGGTGGCCTCAAGCTGCTTATTGCTTCACGGACAGACGATGCATTCATCAACGTTTTTACTTTTGTTCATGTATTCATGAAAGTGTAAAATGATGATCACATTTTGCACTGTTTAAAGTCACCATGGCAGAGTCAAATAACTTACGGACTTAGTCTCTCTCAGCTTTTGAAATGATCTGAAGGAAATCTGAAGATCTGAAGCCAATTGGTGACAATATTTACTTCGAAATCGGTGTCGGTAAGATTTGAAATCTTGAGATCAGAGTATCAAAGATCAAGAAGCATTACTAACATAATGACTCTCGTTTTCCAGAGTTGTATCAACGGAATCACACCAGAAATCGTTGGGATCTTGAAACAGCCACAGCAACTGCGTGGGGTGTGGGTGGTGAAATTTGGGGAGGGGAAGCATTCAGCTTGTTTGAGAAATAGTACAAGTTTTGGCTTGAGGTTCGATTAAGTTGGTAAAGGTAGTTATGTCTGGATTCCGTCCTAACTTTAGATTTGTAGCTAATTTAAAAAGAAATACGATCCAATCGACAAAGTGCACTGCTTCTCAAATTCAAAGGTAATGATTTGAGAACTTGCAAAGTCTCCGACTTCCTGTGTTGGAATCAAGTTAACAGAAAACACGGAGCAGGTTTTATTACCTAATGAGAATCACTACTTCGCATTAATAAGTAAATTCTAACCTTAATTACAGAGCGATGAAACATTAGCAAATGGCTGTACTAGTAAAGCCTCCGCTTTAAAACCCAATACAGTACATACTGACAAGCAAACAATAAACGAAGAAACATTGGTTTTATGGCTGGAATGAAAATACATTAGGAACCACAGTTCAATAGCATTAGTGTACAGAGCTCGCTGAATGATCCTTTGCCTTTATTCAGATCTTTTGTCCAGCTTCCTTCATTTCTTCACAGGACGCACAAATGTGATTGAGTACACTAACTGTACAGTCTTTTAGTTATTAGTACATGGTAACAGCTTACAACATCTGGAAGGAGAAATTAACTGGCTTTCTTCAGACTTCAGGCATTTTTACCACCGGAAGAGAGTCACACAATGGACCTTTCCAGAGATCTCAATCACTGTAATAGCACACTCGCAAGCTTTTCACCTACCAGGAACCAATCAGACATTAAGATCAAGCGGATGAACTTTGACATTCAGGTTAAAATTACACAAACTAGCTTTTAGACTGTAGCCTGTCACCAGTAGCGCCCCACAGGGACTGGTATTGGGTTCACTGCTTTTCATTCTTATAAATGATTTGGATGTAAATATAGGAGGCACGGTTAGTAAGTTTGCAGATGACACCAAAATAGGTGATGTAGTGGACAGTGAAAAGATTATCTCGAGTACAAAGAGACCTTGATCAGATGGGCCAATGGGTTCAATTTAGATAAATGCGTGGTGTTGCATTTGGTA